AATTCATACCGAAAGCTGTGGTCTTTGATCTTCAGCAGTAAGGATTTTAAGCCCTCTTGGCTTTCAGCAAGCAAGGTTGTATTATCTGCATATTGCGGGTTGTTAATGAGTCTTCCTCCAATCCTGATGGCCACGTTCTTCTTCATATATTTCAGCTTCTCGGATCATTTACTCAGCATACAGACTGAATAAATAATTATAGTGAAAGAATACAACCCTGGCACACACCGTTCCTGATTTTAAACCAGTCAGTGTCCTCTTGTTCTGTTCTAATGATTGCCTCTTAGTCTATGTACAGGTTCCTCATGAGCACAATTAAGTGTTCTAGAATAGTCGTTTTCTGGAATGTTGTCCATAACTTGTTATACCCACATAGTTAAAAAGCCTTTTCATAGTCAATAAAGCACAGGTAAACATCTTTCTGGGATTCTCTGCTTTCATCCAAGATCCAGCTGACATCAGCAATGATATCCCCAGCTTGAACCTCTGGCAGCTCCCTGTCAATGTATTGCTGCAGCTGTTTTTGAATTGTCTTTAGCAAAATTTTACTGGCATGTGATATTAATGATATTGTTTGGTGACTTCCGCATTCTGTGAGTCAACTCTCTTTGGAATGGAAACAAATCTTTTGCAATTAGTTGGCCAGGTAGCTCTCTTTCAAATTTCTTGGCATAGATGAGCGAGTGCCGCTAGTAAAACATCAGTTTGTTGAAAGATTTCAGTTTGTATTCTATCAATTCTGTGTGCCTTGTTCTTTGCCAATGAATTCACTGCACCTTAGACTTCTTCCGTCAGTGATATTGACTCTTGATCATATGCTATCTCTTGAAATGGTTGCATATCAACCATTTCATTTTGGTACAGTGACTGTGTATTCCTTCCATCGTCTTTTAATGCTTTCTGTATTCAGTATTTTGCAGAAAGAATCCTTCAGTATTGAAAGTCGAAGCTTGACTTTTCATTTAAGAAATGCTGAACATGTTTTTCCCTTTTGGTTTTCTAATTCCAGATCTTCGCAAATTTCACTGTTATATTTGACTTTGTCTTCTCGAGCTGACCTTTGAAATTTTCTGTTCAGCTCTTTTACCTCCTCATTTCTTCCATTTACTTTAGTATCGCTATGCTGCAGAGCACATTTCAGAGTCTCTTCTGACATCCATTTTGGTCTTTTCTTTTTTTTTTGCCTTCTGTCCTGATGTGGCACTGTGAGCTAATGCATGAGACTGTAAAGTTGCTTGAACTGCAAGGTTGGTGGTTCAAGCTCACGAGCTGCTCCTTGGAAACCCTATACAGGGTCGCTATGGGTCGGAACCGACTTGACGGCACTTAACAACAACAAATGATTTTTTGCTTTCTACCTGTATTATGTTCTTGATGTCATCCCACAGCTCTCCTGGTTTTCAATCATTGGTGTCTAATATATCAAATCTGTTCTTGAGATAACCCTGAACTTCAGGTGTGATATGTTCAAGGTCATATTTTGGCATCCGTGGACTTGTTTTAATTTTCTTCAGCTTCAGCCTATGAGCAATTGATGGTCTGCTCCACAATCTGCTCCTGACCTTGTTTTGGCTTTTCCACCTTCTTTCCACATATATAGTCAATTTGATTTCTGTGTATTTCATCTGGTGAAGCCCATGTGTTTAATCATCTTTTATGTTGTTTTAAAATGTATTTGCAATGAAGAAGGCTTTGGTCTTGCAAAATTCCATCATGTGATCTCCAGCATCATTTCTATCCCCAAGGCCATATTTTCTAACTTCTGATAGTTTCTCTTTGTTTCTAACCTTCTCACTCCAATCACCAGTAACTATCAATACATGTTAGTTGCATGTTTCATTAGTTTCAGACTGAAGAAGTTGGTAAAATTCTTCAATATCATCCTCACTGGCTTTAATAGTTGGTGCATACATTTGAATAATAGTGGTATTAACTGGTCTTCCTTGTAAGTGTATGGATATTATGCTGTCACAGACAGCGTTGTACCTCATGACTGATCTTGAAATGTTCTTTTTAATGATGAATGAATACGATGCCATTCCTCTTCAATGTGGCATTCTCAGCATAGTAAACCATGTGACTGTCAGACTCAAAGTGGCCAGTACCCCCATTTCAATTCACTAATGCTTATGAGTTGTGCTGTGGGGCTGTAGATGAGCATTCAACTACAAGGTCGGTTTGAACTGCAAGGTTGGTGGTTCAAACTCACCAGCTACTCCTTGGAAACCCTATACAGGCTTGCTATGAGTCAGAACCAACTCAATGGTACTTAACAACAATGCCTAGTATATTGATGCTTATGACAACTTCCAAGTTTCCTAGATTCATACTTTGTACATTCCATGTTCCAATTATCAATGCAGCTCTTTCTCTTCATTTTTTAAAAAACATAGCCTTAGAGCATTATTTGACATTGTGGCGCTGTGAGTTAATCCGCCAGACTGCAAAACCATTGGAACTGCAAGGTTGGTGGTTCAAGCTCACCAGCCGCTCCTTGGAAACCCTATACAGGGTTGCTATGGATTGGAACCGACTCAATGGCTCTTAACAACATCATAT